CCCTACACGGTACCCTAACTAGTCCTGCCCCAGGCCTGCGCCTCAGGGTGCTCATGGGGAGGTCACTGTGCCCGAAGCGCTCTGAGGCCCTGCCTGACACTAGGGCACTTTCCCCTTCTGCAGGTGGAGAAGCTGGCCAGGACGTTGTTCCTGTGGAAGATCGATGTCCATGACCAGAAGGAGCGGGTGTATGAGATGAGGCGCTGGAACGAGGCCCTGGTCACCAACATGTTGCCAGAGCACGTGGCCCGGCATTTCCTGGGCTCCAAGAAACGGGACGAGGTGAGAGCTGAAACTTCCAGCCCCCCTGCCAGCCAGGAGAAATGGGGGATGGGGCCTGGCAATGTGCTGGAGCTACTGGGGCTGTGTGTTCAGCAAGGAGATGGGTAGCACTGTACAGAACTAGTGAGCCTAGCAGGAGGTTCGAGCTATCCTGGAATAGTAAGCGGGTTGGTTAGGTGACCCTTTGGGTACCTGCCTGCAGCTGGGCAGAGCCAACACAGTGCACGGCAACAGAGTGGAGTGCAGGCCTGCAGGTCAGGCCTGGTGTTTGGTCCCACAGGAGCTGTACAGCCAGTCGTATGACGAAATTGGCGTCATGTTCGCCTCCCTCCCAAACTTTGCCGACTTCTACACGGAGGAGAGTATCAACAACGGCGGGATCGAGTGCCTGCGCTTCCTCAACGAGATCATCTCGGATTTTGACACGGTGAGCCCAGCACCCGGGCCAGCCTTCCCCAGAGCTAGGCGCATGCTGGCCCTGCAGGGGAGCTCTTTGCAGGGGAGCTCTTGGGGGGCAGAGGGTGGGAGTGAAATGTAGGGTACCCGCGGGCATTGAGAGAGCCTTCCTGGCCAAGCTGAGCAATGGTCTCTCCCTGTGAGGCCCCTTTGCTGAGGCTGCTATTGGCGCAGCTGTAAGCAGCCTTAGGTTTGGGCCAATGCCTCCTCACCTTCCCTTGCCAGCTGTGCATTCCCTCTGGCTGCCCCTCCAATCTTGAACCACACTTCAGCCCCCCTGGAGACTACAGATCCCAGCATGCAATGTTCCACCAGGTTCTGAGAAGCCTCCACTTGGTTCCAGAGAGCAGTGCATGCTGGGATATGTAGTGTCCATGAGTGGCATGTCCAGATTCACAGTGAGAGTAACAGCGTAGAATTCTGTGTTTTGGCCTCTCCAAATGAAGTGTGCAGCCAGGGCCTCAGCAGCTAAAGTCAGCTTGTGATTCTGCAAGGCAGCCACCAGGTGTCACTGTTGTCTTAAATACTGTACAGTAGGCCCGCCGAGTTAGGAACACCTGGCCAACGGGGGTGGTTGGTAACAAAACTTTATGGTGGTTTTTTTCACAAGCTTACTGCTGCACCCGGACTCTCCCCAGCTTTCAAACTTTACAGTGCAGAAGAAAAATGCTGTTTTTAACCATTGTCATTTAAACAAAACATGCAAAGTAACAGTTTCCTTACCCCATCACATCTCATTCCCTAGCTTCTGCTTAACGCAGGACTGTACTGTAGTTGCTTTTTGTTTGGCTCTGCTGCTGCCTGCTTGTGCACCTCCATTTCCAAATGAGGCCTGCGGTGTTCGTAACGCAGAAGGTCTGCTGTATAGGGATGTTAGCACAGAGTCGTCAAGGATTAACCGAGAAAACCTGGGCTTTCCAAATGACTACATGCACCCATACTGCCCTGCTGCCTCTGTATCAGAGGCAGCAAGGGCAGGGGGAGAGATGGAGGTGGATGCCCATGGGGATCTGGCTGAAAGCTGGCTTCCCATGAGCACTGGATCCCATGGGCCTGCCGCTCCCTGACCCTCTGTGCTGATGCCTCTGTGTGCAGGGAATTTAGGCCCCCCACTGACAGGGGCTGCTGTTCAGAGGCAGCAGGCGGGAGCCAGTGTGCATGGGGAACCAATTTTTAAACCAGATTCCCTCGCGGGCCGGCTCTGCCTGCCATCCCGCACTGATACAGAGGCAGCAGTGCAGGGTGGCAGGGAGCTGCCTGGGAGGGGGGCCAGGAGTGCAATGGCTGCCGGTCCCACTCCCGGGGGAGGGAGGGGGCGCGAGCATTTTAGTAACCGTGTCACCACCACCAATCGTTGCAGCTACACGATTACTAAACTAACCGATATCCAACCTCCCTGCTGCGGGGACTACAGCAGTTCCTGTCACCTCACCCCTCCTCAGCCTGGGAGCTGCTTTTCCAGCCACCCCACAGTCAACCCTGCCCCATCTATTGGACAGCTCTGGGCAACCGCTGTGGGCCCTGTGCTTTGGGGAGCCCCGTGCAGCCCAGGGCAGCCTGGCGAATGACTTTGGGGGCCTAGTGCCAGTAGCAGGGGCCAGGCTTTTCCTCACCTGCCACCCAGTCCCAGCCTGCTCTGCTTCTTTCTCCCAACTGGGTCGCCGTGTCTCCGGGGTGGGGGAAAGCAGAGTGATACGGCCAGGAGCTGGGCTTGGGAATAGGCAGGGTGGTGCAGGGACAGGCTTTGGGGAAGGGGTGGATTGGGGGCAGGGCAGGGGCAGAGCAGGGCCAGGAGGAAGCAGGGTGGGGGCAGGCTTGGGGTGGAAGGCAGATTGTCCTGAGCCCTCCACCTCTCTAAGGATGGCCTTGCCCTGTTTATGGGTTTGTCTCTGGTGTCTCAGCTCCTGGACGACCCACAGTTCCGGTGCATCACCAAGATTAAAACCATTGGCAGCACCTACATGGCTGCTTCGGGAGTGACCCCCGACGTCAACACCAATGGCTACACCACCACCATGAAGGTACCGGGCGGGGAGGGGGAGGTGGGGCAGCAGTCAAGCCCGGGAGGGGAACCGGGCAGTCTGAGAACCAGGCCTGGCTGGGAGGGAGGGAGGAGTCTGGGGCAGGCAGGTCTCGGCCTCCCTCAGGCTCTGCACTTTGCTTTGCTTTGGCCTTGCAGAAAGAGGAGCTTTCGGAGAAGGAGCGTTGGCAGCACTTAGCTGATTTGGCTGACTTTGCCTTAGCCATGAAAGTGACCCTGATGAACATTAACTACCAGTCCTTCAACAACTTCATGCTCCGAATAGGTAAGTGCTGCTCTGTGGGAATGACTGGAGTCTGCTACTGGGGGGGAGGGAGGAGATTAAATGGGGATAGCCACATGCCTAGGTGCAGACTCTGTGGGTGCTTCAGGGCTGGAGCGCCCCTGGGGTAAAATAACAGGTTCTTAGGGCCCACTGGCAGCCAGCTCCCCCTTCTGCCCCCTCCCCACAAGTGCCTCTCATCTGCCAGCAGCCCTGCTGACCAACTCCTCCCTCTCCCTCCCAGTGCTTCCCACCCACAGTGAAAACAGCTGTTTTGTCGTACAAGCTGCTGGGGGGAGAAGGGGTGGGAGGAGGCAGGGTGGAGGCCATGCCCAGGTGGGAAAAGGGGTGTCAAGCACCCCTCAGCTAGCGGGGAAGTTGGCACCTGTCTCCACGTCTTCACTCCACAGCATTGAGAGACAAGCCAGCCCCACTGGCTCCAGTGGCCTCCGGCCCCAATCCTTCCAGGCAGAGCTCTGGCCTGGCACCAAAAGACATGTTTTGGTTGCTTTCATAGGTGCATTCCCGTAGAGCAGGGCTTGGTCCCAGTCTCCTTCTCCCGCAGGCGAGCAGAGCCCTGGCTGAGTGGCCATAAAGAGGACTCATTCTTGTGGCTGCTGACCACAGACAGCCCAGGTGGTTCCCCCAGACTGGCGCATGTCAGCGCACAGCTTCTCCGTCCTCCTGAAGTCCTGAGCCAGGCTGGGTCCCCCCAGCTTGGAGAGACAAGCCAGCCCCACTGGCTCCAGTGGCCTCCGGCTCCTCTCCTTCCAGGCAGAGCTCTGGCCTGGCACCAAAAGACATGTTTTGGTTGCTTTCATAGGTGCATTCCCGTAGAGCAGGGCTTGGTCCCAGTCTCCTTCTCCCGCAGGCGAGCAGAGCCCTGGCTGAGTGGCCATAAAGAGGACTCATTCTTGTGGCTGCTGACCACAGACAGCCCAGGTGGTTCCCCCAGACTGGCGCATGTCAGCGCACAGCTTCTCCGTCCTCCTGAAGTCCTGAGCCAGGCTGGGTAGCCACCAAATGCATTGCTGAGCTCTAGAGCAGGGATCTGGGAGTCAGAGACATTCACTTTTGAATCCCAGCCCTGAGCGGGACTTGCTGCAAGTTGCTTCCCCTTTCGGGGCCTCTGTTTCCCCGTGGAGAGCCGAGGCATAGCGGGGAACTGTGTGTGCGGAGCTGAGCAGCGCTAAGGGGGAGTGTGCATAGCAGCAGGAGGTGGAAGAACCTGGGTAATGAGCTAGGCTCCTGCCCCACCGGAGCATGTCGCCAATAGCAAACTGACACAAACCCCAGTCTTGGCCACGAGCAGAGCTGGCCTTTTGGAAGCCAGTGCCAAGAATGGACCCTGTTCCATGAGCAGCCTGGTTCTCAGCACGACCCAAGCCCCTTCTTGGCCACTGAAACATCTACAGAGCAGATCCCAGCCCCACAGCGCTCCTGCGGTCATGTTCGTTTTAAACATACCACTTCCATAGAAGGGGAGAGCGGAGATGAACCAAGCCCGGTGATAACCAGAAATCTCACCATTCGCATGGCAGGAGCACTGGGAGAGCTGCCGGCCCTGGCTCTCTGGGGCTAGTGCTGGGCATTTATACCAGAAGGGTAGGGAGCAGACATGGGCTGGAGTAAGGGTCTTCACAGTGGGCCTCACGCTGCTCGCCCCTTCAGCCAAACGCTGCTTTGAAGAAAACAGCGGGACCCTCAGTTAGACATATCAGCTGAAAGTGTGCACACCGCTGTGCCGGGTGCTGGCCCCACAGGGGTGTACTAGAGCATGGGTGCCCCACAAACACGTGGGAGAGAGATGGCACCACAAGTGTCATGATGCCGTGTGTCTCGTGGAGGACATTGGGGTGCTGCATACGGTGTGTGATGCTGGATGCGTGGGGGTTCTGGTTAGTTGTGTATGTGGATTCCTCTGCCCCCAGGGCAAGTGCTCCCACCCACTGCGGGATGCAGGTAGGAATGTCAGGCTGTCCTTGTGCCCCATCTGCAGGCATGAACAAAGGAGGGGTGCTGGCAGGCGTGATCGGCGCCCGCAAACCACACTACGACATTTGGGGGAACACCGTGAACGTGGCCAGCAGAATGGAGTCAACGGGTGTGATGGGAAACATACAGGTGGGTGAGCACGTTCCCCTCCAATGCTGGGCCTACCCATGTCAGCTCAGCTGCAAGCTGTGAGCCAGTGAAAAGAGGGGGTTGGAATGGAAAATTTCAGCTACCCTTAATCCTGGGAAGAGAGTTCCTGGGAGGCAGCCGTTGCGCTTTGACAGGCGAGGTGGTATAAAGGATTGCAGCAAAAGCGAGTGCATGTAGCACTGGAGATAGATGACCTCATTCTCCAAACCTGGCCCTGATTGATGGGAGGCTGTTCCAGGCACAGGGGCCGGTGCATAAAGGAGGAAGCAAGCTGGGACTAAGGGAAGTGAAGGAGAAGACGAGGCAGTGAAAGGCATGGAGGAGCATAGAGAGAGACACAAAAGCCACTGCAGATACCAAGTGTAATGGCTGGCAGATGGGCAGTAGGGTAGGAGCTCTGGAGAGTGTTCCTGGCACTTCTGTGCCATAAAGCCACTGACCCTCCCAGGTGACTTTCTGCTACAAAATGCCAGCTGGCCATGGAAGTGAATGAAAGGGGCAGTGTAAACGCTTCATGGCCCAGGGTACAGCCCCCAGGCTGAGGGTGAGGTGGTAGAATGGCATTGCCCAGTAAACACAGCCACGCCATCACCTCTGCCTTGACACCCCATCGCCCTGTATCTGCTCATCTCTGCAGGTGGTGGAGGAGACCCATCTCATCCTGAAGGAGTACGGCTTCCGCTTTGTGCGCCGGGGGGCCGTCTACGTCAAAGGCAAAGGGGAACTGATGACCTTCTTCCTGAAGGGCCGGGAGAAGCAGGGCTCTTTCATCAATGGCTCCTCAGTGACTCTACCGCACCAGGTGGTCGACAGCTCATGATGGAGCTGGGCTCGTGCTCCCACTAGTGACTGAAGTCCAGTGCCTCCCATTGGCGAGAGGCAAGCAGCTTCGAATGCCCAGTACTCTAGAAACGAGACTGATAGTAACATCTTTCAACCCACTGTCTAGATTTAAGAGAAAACAACCCCTGGCCTGATCCTTTTTTCCTGGAGGTTTATCTTAGAGGGGTCTGCTTGACTTCAGCTCCACATCTGCAGCTTAGCAGAAGGGAGACGGGAGGGACTGGTCTGATTCTCCTACAGCTTACACGTGCAACCTCGTGCTGACACGGGGCTGGATGGTGGGAAGGCGGAAGCCTCACAGCATTTCAGGAGCTCTCACAATTGCGGTAGACTCCTGTGTACTGTGGTAGTTCAGTCAAGAGAGGCAGATGGCATGGATTTTAGTTAGGGCCACAGATCTGGCCTCCACTTCAGGCTTGTTGCTGAGAGAGAAAAACTCAAGGTAGGTGGTAAGAGGAAAAAAATCTCTGGGGCACTTGGGTTTTCTGGTAGTTCACACAATGCTCATTCTTGCCCTAAGCCACCGTAGCTAGGAGATCAGAGCGAGGGTGCAATATTTCCTTTGACTTGGAGGTGAAGAAATAAAAACCAATGTTGTGTATTTCAAATATATAAATATATATATAAAAGATACAGATTGACATTTATATTTTTAATTGTGTCTGTTAGACTATTTGCGGATTTCTCTATCCGCTACTGCCTTGCACTCCGCTCTCTGCTGTTTTCACCTTTGCTATCGCTTTAAGGAAGAGATGGACAGATATTGGCAAAGAACAAGACTGTTTTATTAAAGCCTTCATCCACTATTCTGTTGAAAAACAAAAGCAATGTAATTATTTCTCTAGTTTCTTGAATAGAACCAGTTGAAGTTAAAAGATGATCTTGTGTCCAGTTTGTCCTGAACACTTCCCTGCTCTGTCTTCGCTGCCGGATGTTCAAGTACCTCACGGCCTCACCCCATGTGGAGTTCTGCTCAAAACACAGCAAGGGAAGGACAACATGCCTCAGCATGGATTTTCATGCCTGTGAATAGTTTCTGGGAGCTATCAGGGGCAGGTGGTACAAGTATTTAGCGCAGGCGGAATGCCTTTTCAGCTGGAACTCGGGAAGCACCTCCGCAGGAATTGCAGCTTTCCAGATGGGGGAACCAAAGGCACAGAGGCCCAATTTGTAAAGGCATTCAAGGGCCTAATAATGTGGCTTGAAGCCCAGTGGGCTTTTCAGGAGCCTAAGGGTTTGTCCACACATCCAACGGTGCAGCAGCAGCACAGCTGTGCTTTGTCCTGTCTGTGCAGGTAATCCATCTCCCTGCAATGCCATTGCTGGGTTGGTGGCTACGTGGGGACTCTGCACCAGGGGTGGCTTTGTTCACATGCATGACTGTCGTTAAATGGACCGAATTTTCAAATGTAGGCCAGGCATAATTGACTTGCTCCAAGCTTTCTTAGCTGGAAGTAAAATTCAGAGCACTTGACTCAGCTCGTCTTCGTCCACAAGACCAGAGACAATGTGGGGTTCAGTCGTCAACATCCCCCATGGCCGAATTCAGCAGTGGTGGAAGTGAAGCAGTAATTGGTCATGCTCCGAAGAGAGGCAGAAAAGGAGCGTTGCTTGCACAGCATGCCCATTCTGGGAAGGAGGGGAAACAAGTGCAATTTACACCCTCTAGGAGGGGTGGCCATTTTCACCAGGTCTGAATTTGGGCCCAGGAACATCAAGGCCAGTGCAGCCAAATTAAAGCGTGGTCTTTGCGCACCACTACTTACACCCACTTTGCGCACCACTACTTACACCCACTTTGCACAGCTGTATGCACGACGAGTCCAGAGTAGGGATGTTAAGAACTAGTTGACTATCCGATAAGCAAATGCTTATCGACTAGTCAGCCAACTAGCTGATTCCCTCCCTCTTGCTGCCTCTATCAGAGAAAGGCAGCAAAGGGGGTGGAGAGGAGGGAAGAGGGGTTAGTTCAAAGCAGCAAATGAAATTAATAGGTAACAGGTTTTAAACAAACAAAAAGAAGTTTTTCTTCACACAATGCAGTCAACCCATGGAATTCTGTGCCAGAGGATAAGACCAGGACTTTAACAGTGTTCAAAAAAGAACTAGATCAATTCCTGGAAGTTAGGGCCATCAATACTTACTAACCAGGAGGGGTAGGAATGGTGTCCCTAGCCTCTGTTTGTCAGAGTCTGGAAATGGATGACAGGAGAGACATCGCTTGATGATCCCCTGTTCTGTTCACTCCCTCAGGAGCACCTGGCATTTGCTACTGTCAGAAGACAGGATACTGGACTAGATGGACTTTTGGTCTGACCCAATATGGCCATTCTTATGACAAACGATTGCAATTGAGAATCAAGTATTTCTGCAACAATCTGCTCAATTCTTTGTAAATCTTCATTAGAACCCCCTACAAATTAGCTTTCAACAACTTTCTACTCAGAAATGATGCAGCTGTAATAAAAAAAATCTAGGCCAATGTATCAGAACTTCAGGTTGTAATTTAAGGGAAGAGCAGGCTAAATTTGGCCTCCTGCAGGGCTTATAATAAAATCTAACATTTGTTTTATTCCAGAGGAATTTTTAAAATCAAACAGTTCTCTGCAGTATGTGCAACTCAAACACTGTTGCACTGGGCTGATACATGAGAAGCGTGAAGAAAATCTGCCTAGTCAAATATCACTCATCCTACTTGAGAGAAATAACCACACGCTACCATAGTAACACATAAATTAGATTTTTAAGATTATCGCTGCTTTAGTCATGAGGCACATTTAGTAACAAGTTTAAGAGTATAAGTGCTATAACATAAGCCTGACCCATACAGCAGAACCATTGCGGAGCCCTGCAGAAATTACAGGGCTAGAGGAAAGACTGCAGGCACCGAGGCCACTTCCTGGTAGCTTTCACGAGGGCTGATTCGTCACATTTTTGTCAAGTTGACTTGACAGTTCTGAAAGTCTCTCGTTTCCCATTCCAATGGTGAAAGAGATTTCCCACATCTGTTTTCTTTCCAGTCTGGCGAAGTATTATGGAGCCACAGTAGCAACTATGTTATTAGTCTTTCAACAATCCTTTAGCAATACACAAGAGGGGAGGAGCTCTACAAGGCTATCTGGAGAACAAACATCTAATCGCCACGCAAGGATCCAGTGTTCTCAATACTATTACCTGTTTTAGCTGTTCCTCCGGCATTTTCCTGCAACGTGGCTGCAGTCCAGTTTGAAAAGCAGCCTCCCAAGGAGCTTTCCAGTGATCAGAAGGCACAGTAAGTACATGGGATCTGGGGACAGGTGCTGTCCACTTATGCCGTTTGTTCCAGTCTTTCTGCTGCTCTTTTGAAGGAATCAAAGGCTTTGTGCAGAGCTGTATGGCAGAACAAGTTTGAATGAGCTGCTGTCTTCTCCAACAGTGATGCAGAAACATCCCCTGCTCCAAAGAGAAACCAGCAAATTAGGGTAGCTGAAAGGAATTCAATATTACCCCTAGCAAAGCTCCTTTCTTTGATTTCTCTCCATCTCCCCATCTGGTGTCATCTGTCACTCTGTTTTGTTCTCCTTCCTTCTCTCTCCTGTCTTCTTTACACTGCCCTGTTCCTATCTCCGTTCACATGCAGCTGCTCTGAGAGGGTGGCTCTCTCAGCACTGGAGGGGAGCAAATGGCTTCAGGCCCCACTTTTTCCTGGCACTGAGACAGGCATAGCTAGGGTTGCCAGTGCCACTTTTCTAATTGCTGGTAGCCAGGTCCCCGAGGCATGCTCCTGTCACATGCTCCTTTCCGCATCACTCGCTGGCAGGGACGTGGAAAGTTAACCTGTTAACTGCTAATTGGTGGGGGCTGAAGCACCTGTCTGCAGGCAGGCCCAGGCACCCTGCAGGCAGCCCGGCCTTGGCGGGCAAGGGCTGGGGAGGAAATTGCTTCAGACTAGTGGGGCAGAAGCCACCCCTATCACATGCACCCCCATTTTTTTGCTATTTGAATTTCTTCTATGTAATACACTAACATGCATCTTTCTGAGATTATTCGTGAATGCGCTCCTGCACACACACACTCTTCCCAGTCCTGGTTCCCCATACATCTCAGACCTAGCAATGCCCCTAAAGATCTGGAACCATCTTACAGTCCTGCTAAGATGGGAGCTCTAGCAAGTCTGTAAAATGTTTACAGTATCAGGCCATAACCTTTTCAGAGCAGAGCCCCAGACACCAAAGGATCATGTGACCTTGCGCCCTGTGGCAAAGCGGAATTAAGAAAAGTTGCTTATTCCTTTCTTGTCCTGAAATTCAAATGGTGAATAATAATAATAATCATATGACCCCAAACAGACCACGAAAGCCTCAGTGCAGATTGTTTTGCGGTGCTCTTGCTCCCATACAAATGTTCTCTGAATGGACACAGATGTCCTTTTACCTTTACATGTAATTATGGCCTCCGTTGGAAGACTGCGAGTGACATCTCCATAAACCAGCTTTGCTCTGAATGGAAAGGTCTTGCTTTCTGTTTCCACGTCATAGTTAAAGAGCAGGACATTCTGCAAGAGGTTTCTCTGCAAGGTTCCTTCAAGGAAAGCTGAAAAATGTTCCTATAGGGAAGATGACAAACAGAAGCAGTAAGCTATGAAAGGGACCCATTCAGGGAGTGGGGGCTGGGATTTCTCCCTCTGTTAAATCTTAAAAACAAAGTCTAAGGTCTGATCGATTTAAGTCTGGAACCATATTGTATATACCTCAAACAACAGCTTCACAGTAAAACATCAGAGCTGGCACACATTTTTATTTCAGGTCAGAAAACCTGAAGTTCAGACTGCCCAAAACATCTCAAATCTATCCCACACTATATCCTGACACACGGAGCATCATCTCTATAATGCATAGAATCATAGAATAATAGGACTGGAAGGGACCTCGAGAGGTCATCGAGTCCAGCCCCCCGCCCTCAAGGCAGGATCAAGCTCCGTCTACACCATCCCTGACAGATGTCTATCTAACCTGTTCTTAAATATCTCCAGAGAGGGAGATTCCACCACCTCCCTTGGCAATTTATTCCAATGTTTGACCACCCTGACAGTTAGGAATTTTTTCCTAATGTCCAATCTAAACCTCCCCTGCTGCACTTTAAGCCCATTACTCCTTGTCCTGTCCTCAGAAACCAAGAGGAACAAATTTTCGCCTTCCTCCTTGTGACACCCTTTTAGATAGTTGAAAACCGCTATCATGTCCCCCCTTAATCTTCTTTTTTCCAAACTAAACAAGCCCAGTTCATGAAGCCTGGCTTCATAGGTCATGTTCTCTAAACCTTTAATCATTCTTGTCGCTCTTCTCTGTACCCTTTCCAATTTCTCCACATCTTTCTTGAAATGTGGCGCCCAGAACTGGACACAGTACTCCAGCTGAGGCCTAACTAGTGCAGAGTAGAGCGGCAGAATGACTTCACGAGTTTTGCTTACAACACACCTGTTGATACAACCTAGAATCATATTTGCTTTTTTTGCAACAGCCTCACACTGTTGGCTCATATTCAACTTGTGGTCCACTATGACCCCTAGATCCCTTTCCGCCATGCTCCTTCCTAGACAGTCGCTTCCCATCTTGTATGTATGGAACTGATTGTTCCTTCCTAAGTGGAGCACTTTGCATTTCTCTTTATTAAACCTCATCCTGTTTACCTCTGACCATTTCTCTAACTTGCTAAGGTCATTTTGAATTATGTCCCTATCCTCCAAAGAAGTTGCAACCCCACCCAGTTTGGTATGAGGATTGTGGCATTTGTATTCTGTAGAGCATGGACATGGCAGACTAGGTTTTCAGAATAACTGAATGGTTATTAGTGGAGGGCACTTGTGGACAAAAAGGTAAGATGTTGCAATACTGAATATAAAAGGCAGGTGGGAGGAGGAAAGGAATCTATCTCTTCTGTGTACCAAAGATAAGAGAACCAAGTTAGTTTGGAGAAGAGGCTATGGAGAGATTAGCATTAACCCTCCCCCAGACACACACACACCATGTAATGGGTGGGCGGTAAAATGGCAGAACACAAGACAGTACACTGGGGACTCATGGCTTATACTGGAAATCTAGAAGAGGTACAAGGACATAAATAAACTGTGTGTTGGATATGAGGTGGAGCAGAGTTAAAGTTGTTTATGGAATCTTAATTCCAAGTTTCCTAACTCGCATATATTTAGAAAAAATAAAGTCATATTCCAAAGAGCTTTTTTGAGGTGTGCATTTTGGCTTTGGGATTTTCCTTACTCTAAAACCAAAATATATATATTTTATGTGAAGCATGGTAACACATTTAAGACATTCCATCAATCAAGTGAGTTTGTATTTCATGCTATAACTAGCAATGAAACACCTAAAACTGGAATCTTGAATGCTCCTTTGTAGGAGCTACACTAAACAGCTCCTTGTGCAGACTAGGAATGTAAAATTTCGATTGTTTAGCTAATCAAATAGTCGATGCAATTTGCATCAACTATTCAATTAGTTGATAAGGGCGCTTCAGCCTTTGAAGTATAGCAATAGCTCCAAGGCTGTTGCTACACTTTACAGGCGAAAGCACTGTGGGGAACATGGGGCCAGTGGGGGATTCACTGGCCCTGTGCTCCCTATGGCGTTTCAAAGCAGCAGCGCCGCATGGAGCCTGGGCTCCGTGGGAGAGTCCCCAGCTGACCCCATGCTCCACGCAGCGCTGCCACTTTAAATGCTGCATGCAGCCCAGGGACCCATGGCTCCACATAGTGATTCAAAGGGGCAGCGCTGCAGCGAGCCCGGGGTCTGGCCCCAGGCTTCATGCAGCACTGCTGCTTTGAAGCACCCTCTCTTCTTTCCCGCCCCCCCCCTTGCTGCATCTTTCTGATAGAGGCAGCAAGGGTGGGGGTCACGAAGTGACTAGCCTGTCGACTAGTCATTCATATCCCTAGTGCAGACTGACAATTATCCACAAAATTTTCATCACATAAAAACACCATGCAGGCGCTGATGTCCAGAGGCTTTTAGGAAATGTACAGCCTGACAGTTTCTAAGATTTAAACAAATGACATTACCACATGTGCATTTCCCCCCCTCTGCCACAGCATGTGTACTTGGAGTGCAACACTCACTTATCATAGGTCTTCAAAGAGCTTAAATGTTAACTGATCAATCCTCTTAACACCCTGTAACTGTTGTATAGACATGGAACATTGTATAGATGTGGAAACCAAAGCAGAAAGTTAAATGGGCCACTCAAGGGCATAGCTAGTACTGTTGGTCACAGATGGACCAGATTTACTTCCCACCTCAGATTTACTGTAACTTTACCCATATATTAAGGGGTATGGGTGAAGAACAATCCGACACCATTTCACTCCCTATTGGTACACAAGGCTAAATAACAGATTAATGTGGTTTTGGAGACCATTGGTACCTGTAACTGATCTGCCTGGTATTTCCTTCCAGCATAAGCATTCAGGTGCTCAGACAACATAGCCAGGAAGCGTTTGATGTCAGTCTGTAAGTACTTCTTAGCTATTTCCTCTAAGGGGATGAAAATGGGGACAGAGTGGTGACGAATCTGGACTGGTTGCTGTATGAGGAGGTCCAGGTAGTAGGAATCCAGGTAGGTGCGTTCATAAGCAGTGCTGATGCAGAAACAGACTCCTTGTTTGGTCAATTTCCCACTAATCCCTTGGATACAAAAAAGGGGACTTTATTCAATACCAATCTAAAACATTATTGTAAGGAAGCTTTTCTAGGGGCATGGACTGCTAACTTTGTATTCCATATATAGAGGGAACACCTGACACATTTAGTCCATAGACAGGGTTCCTAAAATGATTAAAGATTTGGAAGAATTAAGAAGCACACCTCCTAGAATCATTTTTATAACACCCCATTCCTCAACCTTCTAGTGAGTTCAGGATTTTGTGCCCAGTATTCTGGGTTCCCAACTTCTTGCACTGAGCTTCGGTGCTGGATTCTGGTATGTTTCTGCTCACCTTCCACACAGCTGCATACATGGAGCTTGTGCTTCTCCAAACCAGTCTTATAATTACAAGCAGCCCAAGCTCAGTGTTGTGTTAAAGAATGCACAATTGAGTAGTGGAAGGCAGCATGCTCTACCTGGCATAGGCAAGGTCCAAGATTCATTAAACTTATAACCATCTAAAATGGTTGAGAACTGCTTCCATAATTAACTCATCTGCATTGTTGCAAGACTGGTTTAATTATATTTCAATTAGAGAAACAGGAAACCATGGTGAAAGTGATGCACATTCAAGTACTGTAGTAATCTGAGAAGACTCAGACAGTTAGAAACATTGTCCTGCCTTTCAGGAAGGCTCAGCCAATGAGAGTTTATTCTGATGACACAGGGTGTAACTCAGTATCCTGGATACCTTTAATGCTAAATGGAGAATTGGAGGAGACAGACAACAGGAACCCAGGGGAGTTAATCTCTTTGAAGCGCAGTTGCTATTTTTCTAGCACCTCCAGACTCTTGATGACTTGTGCTTTTAAGTAATAAGCTAGCACTGCTAATAGAAAAGAATCAGCTAGATATAAAGCTCATCCTTCAAAATGATAACCCTATATAAAACCAGCAGCTAGGCTCAAGGATACCTACCTACCTATATATAAGGGACTGACTATGGACTGCAGGGCACCAGTTTGCACAGATCTCAGGATTTTACCTGTCAGATGAAAGGCTTGCAGCATGGACTTGACATTTTCCACTTCCCATTTTAGAAGAGCTTTCCCTCTGGCCTCCACTGCTTGAATGGGCTCCACATTACTGCCAGTGCCCCTTTCCTGCCTGATGAGCTACAAAAGATATGAAAGAAAAGCTAGTAAGAAATCACGAAAACTAAGCAATCTCTGTACAAAGGATGGCCAAGCTGCTGCTGGGGAGCAGAAGAAAGGTTGTTTGGAATACTGTTTTATGACAAGAAAAATTCTGTAACAGGGACAGATTTCTTTGCAAGTAGCAGGGCAGGGCAGCGCTGCACCTTCTCAGTTAATGGAGGTTCTCTCAAGCCAGCAACTTCAAGTTATTTTAAAAAAAATGGGTAAGAATAGCTACAGGTTGTATTACAAAAATCATACAAATACATAAAAACACAGTCTGGAAGGACAAACTCGTCAGGGACTTTCTGCCACTTCTGTCAGCAGTTCTCAACCTCTGGTCCATGGACTGGTGCTAGTCAATGAACCACTGGCTGTTGTCCACGGCAGCTCTGGGGGCCAGGTCTTGGGAACACCACCCAGCCAGTGTTCATTCTGAGGTTCGCCCACCTCTTCATCAGAGCCACACAGTGGCTGCTCAGTTGCTCCAGGGTGGGGCCATGTGGTGCCCCATGAGCAGCAGGGCAGCCACCATATGGCCCTGCCCTAGACTCAGCCCTACCCCAGTGCTGGAGCTACAGGCTGTGTGGGGGGTGGCAGCTGCTCCAGTTGGAGTCAGAGCTGGACCCGTGTTGTGGGCAGCCCATTGCTTCTCCAGTAGCCCCAGCCAGAGCCAGAGCTGCGTGGCAGATGGCCCACGGCTCCTCCAGTGGTCTGAACCAAAGCCACATGGCAGGGGGCCCGCAGCTACTCCAGTAGCCAGGGCCAGAGCTGGAGCCAGGTAGCCCACAACTGCTCCGATGGCCCTTGCTGCAGCTAGAGCCACGTGGCAGGTGGCCCATGGCTGCTCAGGTGACTGGTGCCAGAGCTGTGTGGCAGGCAGCTCACAGCTGGGCCACAGGCCAGGGCCAGAGCCGAATGGCAGACGACCCGTGGCTGGGCCTGGCCGGG